GCCCGCCAGGCCTCCCTGTCCATCACCAACTCCCGGAGTTTACTCAAGCTCATGTCCGTTGAGTCGGTAATGCCATCCAACCATCTCATCCTCTGTCGTCCCCTTCTCCTCCCACCTTCAATCCCTCCCAGCATCAGGGTCTTTTCAAATGAGTCAGTTTTTCGCATCAGGTGGCCAACGTATTGGAGTTCCAGCTTTAGCATCAGTCCTTCCAGTGAATATTCAGGACTGATCTCCTTTAGGATGGACTGGATTGATCTCCTTGCTGTCCAAGGGACTCTCAAGAGTCTTCTCCAACACCACAGTTCTTTTACCTTGTGTATTACTTTTATTTTAGTAAGTGAACAGGTATGTTTTTCGAAGGTGATGATGCTGACACTGATAATTAAAACAGTAACGTGGGACCAGCACACTGTGGCACATGAACCCAAGCCATCCCTGACTCAGCGAGTGGTCGTCAGGCCGGCAATAGTCCATGAGGTGGCTGCCTTAGGCATAGAAGACAGTATTTGAGTAGAAGAATGAATTATTATTAATATATTTAAAATGTCCAATGCTGACTGAGTCACTTTTTTTGTGTGGAGCAGTAAGATCACAGCAGGCCTGTGAGTTTCTGTTTGGATTGGTAGTTACTAGTTGCTGGCTTGGGACGTACTCCGTATTTGTCCATCTGCAAGACTGAGCTCTGAGTGGCTGTACCTGTCAGTTACTGTTGGAAAAACTTTTGATTTCTCAGATAAAAGGAACCTTTGAAATGCAAAATGACATTATAATGGGGGCCTGTATTTTAAGGGAGAGGGATAAAGGATTTAAAAGGCACTGTTATCACTCTGTAATCATATTTCCTTTTATCCCTCTGTGATTATGTGTGTTGATGTGCAAGTTCAGGATGCCAGGAAGTTCTTGTTGAGTTTATGAACTTTGAGAAACGTAGGAGGTAACTGCAACACCATAATCTATTTAATAATAAACAGCATTTTCTTCTCAGGTTCCAGTTTTAGGGGTAGGTTATCATTTACCTTAAGGTAACAGTCTTTTATTTATTATAGGATATGAAATAAAGGTATATTTTATACTGATGTTTCATACAGTTAATCCTAAAGTTTGATAAATATGCTTTTTAAAATAACAGCTTTCTTGAGATATAATTTACATACTGAACAATCTACTGATTTGAAGTGTACAATTTAGTAGTTTTTAGTGTTTTCAGAGTTGTGCAACCACCCCTGCAGTCAGTTTTAGAATTTTCACTACCCCCTGCTGCAATCCCTGTGCACATTGAATGTGCTTCTTAAAAGAAGAAACCACAAAAATCAACAGTGTCATTATGGCATATAGGTAAACTATATTTATGTAATTTTAAAAACCCATTTAGCCAAAAAGTAGAGCAAAAAGGGAGAAATAAGTATATCATATGATACAGATAAAGGGTAAATATAGTAAAAAGTTAGATTAATAAAATTGACTCTTGTATCTCAGAAGACAAAGGATACTTTCAAAAGGAAATACAGTTAGTAAGCAAGTTATGAAAAAACTTCACCCTAATTAGTAATTAAAAGCAAGATAAATGATTAGGTACTCTTTTTAGCATTTTAAGTGCTGAAAACTTGTTTCCATATATGATGTTTTATCTTACTTTTATTTTATACTGAAGCATAATTGATTAACAGTGTGTGTTAGTTTCAGGTGTATGGCAAAGTGATTCAGTTATCCATATACATGTTTCATTGAGAACTTTTTAAAAGTAACCAATGCTGGAGGTAGTACAGAAAAAATTTTAAATTTTACTGGCAGCTATATAAAGCCTCAAAGAGTTTATCATTATCTATGAAAAGCCTTAAAAAATGTTTATTCTTTTTTAACTGAATCATTCCACTCCTTCGAATCTATTTCAAGAAAATAATCCTAAACATTGAGAAGATTCACAGAGGTGTTTATTGCAGCATTTTTTTATGATTGCAAGGAACTGGAAACAGCCTTGGCAACAAGTACACTAGAGAGAAGTCCCATCACATCTGTGTGTATCTCCTACAGGGCTGTCCTCAAAGGTGGAGAAAGCACAAAGAGGAAAGTAATTGCAATACTGTGAGCACTTCAGGAAGCATGTGTCCTGGGCTAAGCACAAGCGGGGGACCCTGACTGTGCTCCTCTTCCTTAGACTCAGTTCCCGTGTGCCTCTTCCAGTGTGAGCATCTCAGGGGCCGGGCGGGACTTGAGTGTTGGAGATGAGTGGTTTTTGTACGTGGCCCCCAAACATCAGCCAACCGTGCGCGTCATCCAGGGCTCAACCCGGGAGATAGCGGTCACTTTCCGACTGCCCCCATCTCTCCTCCCATCTCTCATTTAAGAAATCTGGAAATGGTTATTTTCTGTAGTAGTCTATGTATATGAATATTCCAAAATTAACTCTTTTGGAAAGTTCTTTTTATGTACCACATTAGCTATAAACTTTGATGAATTTTTACCATAGACGATTCTCTACTCATATATATGAGAGTTTGGGTCCAGTGCCTATATTGATGCCATTACCTGTGTTCACTTAATGAAATACTCTGTGGCTTTCAGAATGATGGTTATGAAGGTTATGTAGCAGAACAGAAAAGTGTATGCCTCTAGAGTTAAGTGAAAGACATAAGATACAGAAGTATCATACCTATATAGAAAAATGCATAAAACAAAGAAAGACAGAAAGCAAAATTAGCTTTCAGTTGCCATTTACAGGTTGTTCACTACCTTTGTAGCCCAGGTATCAAAGTATAAAATTGACTGAAGACTTAATGCTCATCCTATACGTGTATTTTTAAAACAATTTTCATATAAATGTTTCCATGCACATCTGCTGGATGGTAATTTGTTCCTCCTCCTCTCCTGATAACTGTGTCCACAGATTCTCTGACTGCTGATTGAACTTCAGAGTGAAGAAGCTCAGTTGCTGGCCAGTACTTTAGTATTATCACCAGAATCCCAATTTCTGCTTAGACTATCATATGATGCAGGGGGGCAGTTATTAGAATTCTTCTTAGAGAAACTTTTTGAGCTAAGAGACTAGCTGGAGAATTCCCTTTAGAGATAGATTAAATTCAGGCTAAGAGAAGTGGAAGCAACAGACAGTATTACCCCTGTTGGAGTTCTCTTGGCTAATTAGATTCTGGTTAACAATTTTCTGAGATGTGCTAGAGGAAAAGTCTTAGGAAGCCCAAGGGGAGGAATTGTGAGCCCAGTCAGGCACAGTAACAGAGGTCAGCATGGAAAGCTGAGCTAAAAAGCTCACCTGTGCCTGCAGGGGGTGTGGTTTAGAACTGCCATCCAGGGTAAGGAGAAGGAGACGCTTCAGGTAAAGCCAAGTGCTGCTCTGACCTGCTGCTCTCTGACCCATTTTAAGGTTCCGGAGAAGGGATGTGTCCCAAGAATGTGATTTTCAAGATTAGTCCAAGCAGAATGGGGGGAAACCTTGACTGTTCCTACTGAATCATAAAATACAAAGTAGTCATTGATCCTCCGCCGGACGTCTCCCAGGCCCAGGCGCGCACTGACCCTTTGTCTTCTGCAGGTGACCCTGCCCTCAGCATGAGCCGCTGGATGTTTCACCAGCAGGCCCTGCAGGAGTACATCCTGATGTGCTGCCAGTGCCCCACGGGGGGGCTTCTGGATAAGCCTGGCAAGTGAGTGCCTTGTCTCTGGGGAGGGCGGGGTGGGGGCGCTGAGCACGCAGGCCTGCTCAGACCCGGGCGGGGCAGCCCATCTGTGCAGCTGCTTAGGGCCCATGTGGTGTGGGAGCAGCCGGGCCCGGAGCAGCCCTGTCCACCATGCGTCCATCCTGCACTTCCAGCTCCCTCCTGCACCCCCTTACCAGTTAGGTGAAGGGATTGCTGCGTGGGTAATGTTTCTTTCCTCTTTTATTTAATCAAACTGACCCAAACAGAACAGGACACAGGGTTTAAAAACTCCCGGGTGTCATCTTGTTGTTCAGTCGCTAAGTCGAGTCCGACTCTTCTCGACCCCATGGACTGCAACACGCCAGGCTTCCCTGTCCTTCACCATCTTCTGGAGTTTGCTCAGATTTATGTCCGTCGAGTCAGTGATGCCATCCAATCATCTCATCCTCTGTTGGCCCCCTTCTCCTCCTGCCCCCAGTCTTTCTCAGCATCAGGGTCTTTTCCAGTAAGTTGGCTCTTTGCATCAGGTGGTCAAAGTTTTGGAGCTTCAGCTTCAACATCAGTCCTTCCAATGAATAGTCAGGGTTGATTTCCTTTAGGATTGACTGATCTCCTTGCTGTATGAGGGACTCTCAAGAATGTCATAAACAGAGATTATAATCACCGCTTTCATAGAGTAGATTGAACACCTTTAGGTGCTATACTGAAAGAAAAAGGGAAGCCAATCAAGTCCTGTTCCCTTTGCTGCTCACTCCCCACCCTGACCCCCTCCTGGCCCCCTGCACATATACACACATCCTGCCTCCTTCTGCATGCATCCAGGGGAAGGCTCAGCTGAAGGCTGGCCCCCAGCAATTTACCCATTTGTAAATTTTGACCCATTTGAAGAAAGAATTTGACCCATTTCTAGAAATTTTGGTGTGGGTTATTTTAACGGCTTTTTTTTTTTTAATGTACTCTATGGATTTAGCAACACTACCCTGGAGGGCCCTTCCTTAGAAGGAAGTCAAGAGGACAGACAGTTCCTGCGGTCAGGCAGGGTGGAAGGATGGAGCTCTGAAAAACGCTGCTGGGGGAAGCCAGGCTTCTAGGCATGTGGAGGGCGGGTTTGGATGCCCGAGTGCTTCCTGGGCTTTATCTATGGTCTTGTTGTTGGAGGCTGTGCCAGGGCGGGTGGGGAGCAGAGGGTACCTGCTGAGAGCTGCTGCATCCTTGCAGGTCCCGGGACTTCTACCACACCTGCTACTGCCTGAGCGGCCTGTCCATAGCCCAGCACTTTGGCAGCGGAGCCATGTTGCACGATGTGGTCCTGGGTGTACCTGAAAATGCCCTGGTAAGGCGGGATGTGGGGGGTAGGGGGCTTACCACTGCTTCTCCGCAGGGCCCCCAGGACGGGGCTGGCAGGAGGGCAGAGCAGCCCGTTGGGGCCTCCAGAACTGACGGCACGAGTGTCCCCCATGGACGGGCTGGCGAGCTCACCATCCCCACACTCCCTGTCTGCAGCCCATTCCCCATTGGTGAGCACCTGACCGGCAAACTCGAGGTTCTAAGCTCGGATCCAGCCTGCGGCGGAGGGTGTGTCCCGGAGTCTAGGACCCAGACCACTTGTCATTAGTCCCCATCTCCGAGGAAGCCGGCTCAGGGGCAGTGGTTTCTGCGTCTGCAGCAGCAGCCCTCCCTGTGTAGCTGGTGTCTTCTCCTGGAGCTCTCAACGTGCAGCCCTGCATCCAGAGAAACCCTCTCAGACCACCGTCTATAAATGAGATGCCTGGAAACGCTTGGCCAGAGCATGATTTATGCCCCTCATAGCACCAGCACAATTTGTCATGTGTGTGTTTAACTGGGTTTTGTCTGCTTCCCTCAAAACCCATCAGCCCCCTGTGGGCGGGCTGTTCACCGAGGCATCCAGCCCCAGGCCAGCCTGGCCACAGGCGATGCTTCTGAACGTTAGGAGCCTGAGACATGACTCCAACTAAGACTGTCCATGGCCATCAGATGATGGGCCCGTGCAGACTGTCATGAAATATTTCAGCAGAAGAAACACTGATGGCCAGTAGGTGGATGAAAAGATGCTCAGCCTCACTAATTGAGAAAATCCAAGTAACAGCTCTTCAGGTTTTTCATGTATTTGCCTGCTATGCAGCCCTCTTCCATTCCTTTCCCTCCCTCCTGCCTCATTGTAACCCCATTCTAAATTAATCACTGATCATGCCTGCAGATGTTTTTGTGCTATCACTCCAGAGGTATGCATCCACAAATAATAGAGTTGTTTTGTATGCTTTTTGTTGCTTTATAACAGTTATCTACTGCATCACTTTTCTCACTGACCATTACCCTGAGGTTTAGCCGTCTTCATGTATGTTGCTTTAATTTATTCATCTCACCTACTGTATGGTATTCCCTTGTCTAGGCGTACCCCAGTTGAGTTTTCTGGTCTCCTGTTGGTCAGCATCGAGATGGTTTCAGCTTGTGCTGTGACACAAGGTGTTACAGTGAACATTCTTATTACAGTTTCTCTGGAAGAGACCCACCTTCATCTTCACTAGATGGCCTTGAACCCTGCTCCTGTGTGCTTGGGTTATTTTTCACTCCCACAACACCAAGATGAGTTGTGCCATAGTTAGATACTTCCTTTCTGCTAACGTGACTAGTGGTTTCTCAGTTTTGTTTTGCATTTCCCTAGTTACTGGTGAGGCTAAGCATCTTTTCAAACATGTTTTGGCCATTTGTGTTATGTATTCTGTAAATTGCCAGCCACTCTTTTCCTTTGCTCATTTTCTTACTGATTTGTAATTTTGTTTGCTCTTTTCTTATACATTTTGTAGTTCTTTGTGTGTTCTTGATATTCATTCTTTGTCAATGGTGTGTGTATGTGTGTGGTGAATCTCTTCCAGTTTGTGACTTTTCACCTTCTTAGTGTTTTTTGTTGAATAGAAGATTTTAACTCTGAAGTGAATAATTTTATTTGCCTTTTTGGTTTTCAAGGGTTTGGGGGGGTGGGGTTAATTAAGAAATCTTTTCCTACCTGAGGTCATAAATATATTTTCTTCTAAACAATGTAAATTTTGCTTTTCCCATCGAATTTTTAGAATTCTCTTGGAATTGATTTCCATCTGTAGTGAGCATTGGATATAATTTTATCTTTTTCCTGTTTGGGGTACCAGTTGACCAGTACCACTTACTGAAGTTTACAACCTTTCCTACTGATGTGTATCACATGTCTGTTACATACTCAAGTTTCTGTTTATGAGTTGATTCTGTTTCTGGACACTCTGTTCCATGGGTCTGTTTTATTATCTTCACTGTCTTATCAAATCTTAAATGCATGTAAGCAAGTCTCACTCACCCACCTCATTCTTTTTTTTTGTTTTCACTATTCTTTGCCTTTTGCATTTTAGGATTTCCTGTGCATTTTAGGATGAGCTTATCAAGTTCCACACAAACACACACACACAAAAGCTAGTGGAATTTTTTTTACATTGAATTGCATTGAATGTAATATTAATGGGAGATAATTGACTTTGATATTAAGGCTTCCCTTAATATTTTTCAGGTTTTTTACATATAATGTTCTTTTATCATTTCCCACAAAGGACTAGCGTATCTCATTAGATTTATGTCTAAGAAATTTACAGTTTTTGTGTCTATTGTGACTGGAGTATTCTTTTCCATTCTATTTTGTGATTGGCTGTTATTAATGTGTAGAAATGCTATTGATAATTGTAGTTTAATTTTGCATCCAGCGGCCTTGCAGAATTCTTTTTTGACTGTTCCAAGCAGCTTATGGGGTCTTAGTTCCCTGATCACGGGTCAAATCCGGCCCACTGTAGTGGAAGCAGGGAGTCCTAACCACTGGATCACCAGGGAATTCCCACTGAATTCTCCTAATGGTTGTTAATAGTTTGTCTATAGAATCTCTTGGATTTTTTTTATTTAGACTGTAATGTCACCGTCAAATAAGGACAGTTATGCCATTTCCTTCCTGATTCTTAAGAATTTTATTTATCTTGCCATGTAATGTTGGTTAAACCCTCTATGGAGTGTTGGCCAGAAGTGGTAATAGAAAGTGTTCAGATTGTAATGGAAAGGCTTCCATAATTCCACCATTCAGGAAGATGCTGACTGTGAGGTTTTGATAAATATTTCATGTCAAGTTAAGGATATTCCCCTCTTTACCTGGTCTGCTGAGCTGTTTTTTGTTTGAATCATAATCTGGTGTTAAATTTAAATCTGGTGAATGCTTTTTCCATATCTAGGTTTTCTCCTTTAATCTATATGTTTTGTTAATATACATGGTGATGTTAACTTTACATTAGAAGGATAAACCCTCTTGGTCATAATAGAGAAAGTGTGTGTATGTGTGTGTGCTGGTTTATTACACTGCTGGATTTGCCTTGCTGGTATTTTTGGCTAGTGTTTTTATTTAGGATTTTTTTTTGCATGTGTGTTCATGAGAAAGATTGATCTAAATTTTTGTTTTATGGTACTGTTCTTTTCCAGTTTGTGTTTTAGGATAATATAGCCTCGTAAAATTAAATAGTTATCTTCCTACCCTATTTTTTCTTTGGAAAACTTTGTGTAAGTTAGAGATTATAAGCCAACACTTGCTTGAGAAAACAGGTAGACCTAGTATTTGGTGGGGTGGGGGGGGGATGGTTGTAGCAGAATAAACAATTGTTATTTAACTCATTCATATAGGCTTTAAAGAATTTCTTTTTGAGCAATTTTGACAATTCATATTGTTCTATAAAGCTGCTCAGGTTATCAAAATTTTTATATTTTGGCATGAAGCTGGTCATGGTATTTTCTTTGAAGTTTTTAAGTCTGTTGCAATTATGTCCCCTTCTTCATTGTCCCAGAGTGGAAGAATCGTGAATACTGGCCTAGGACTGGACCCTGTCTCAAACCAGAGTCTCTGTGGTGCAGTGGGATAAAATAATTTATATATGGCCTGACACATTTACTTAAATGTTAGGGTTGTGTACCTTTTTCTTGATTATAAATATAAATGCATGTTCATTGTTTTAATAATTAGAATATATATAAAAGTATAAATTAGAAATTTTAAAATAGTCATGTCACTGCTGTTTTGGAATATTCCATTTTTGCCTATTCATATACATCACATTTACAAACACTTTAAAAAGTAAGTTTGGGATATCACACATACTGTTATCCTCATTTAATGTTAAGTATTTGCCAATGTCATCAAATATTTGGAAGTATATTTTTTTAATGGCTCTAATATTCCTTTGTGTCTCATGTGCTAGAACATGTTTTTACCAGTACCCTGTTGTTGAACCTTAGGGCCTTGTAAGATAAATCTCCATGTGCAGCTTTGATTTCTTGTTAAATTCTTACAAGTGCATTTAATGGGGAAAGGCTGTGCACATGTCCAAGGACCATGGGGTGATTGATTGGCATCTGTTCTTCTCTTTGCAGCAGCCCACTCACCCTGTGTACAATATTGGGCCAGACAAGGTGATCCAGGCTACCATGTACTTTCTGCATAAGCCGGTTCCAGGCTTTGAGGAGCATGAGGATGAAGCATCAGCAGAGCCTGCCACTGACTAGGGGACGTGGGGTCTCGCAGCTCTATGTTCACCCATCTCCCCAGTCAGACCAAGGTTTATACATGTCGATACATACTGCATTCTGTGCTGCATAAGCCTTGGCCGCTGTGAAGCTTGGTTCTTTGTCCTTTTTTGTTAAACAGAACAAAACTGATGGCTCTTGGTCTAGAGAACACAGTGGTGTGGTTTTTTTAAAAAGTTCTTTCCACTCCTGTCCTACCAGAAGCCTACCAGCTGTGTAGCATCTGGACCCAGCTCTGGCCCGGCAGGGTTGGTTGGGGAGCAGTGCATGCTGGGACAGCAGCCCCGCCCTGCCAGCTGGCCAGCGCAACCGTCCATTGAAATGAATGACGTCAGAGTGTTACAGCATTCAGAGCTTTTGCTGCGATTCTCATGTGTGCCACCACTGCGTCACCAGGAAGATGGCCTCCTGTGGGTGGAAAGAAGTCTGCTCCATGCCTAGGCAGAGGCTTTGAGTCTCACCAAAATGAATTCTCCAGGAAAAAAACATGGTGGGGCTTCAGTCAGAGGTGCCCGAGGTCCTTGCCTCCCAGCCTGGTTACTTGTGAGTGGAAGGAGCTAGGGTTGGGGGAGAAGGGCTCGGGAGATGTGAGTCCCTCCCTCTCCAGACTGAGCACTGACCACACATCTCCAAGGCCAGCTTGCTGCGTGGACAGGATTTGCTTCGGCCCCAGTTGTGGTAGCTTAGACCTGGGAACCAATTATGAGTGGAAAATGAATCCCTCGTTCAACTCTGAGCCAGAGGAAGCAGCCCCAGAGCCACCCCATCACGTGCCCCGAACAGCCCCTCTGAAGACTGCAAGGCAGCGCCTGCAGCCCTTGGCCAGGCTCTGGTTCCGTCTTTCTTGCCCCGACTCCCCGCTCACCCTTCTGAAAGACAGTGTTGTCTTCTCTCACCCCGAGTATTAACACTACTAAGTCTTTCACCTTCATTTCTGACTCAGGATTTATTCACATCCTGCCTACTCCAGGCTCAGAGAAAGAAAACCTAGTGCTAGATAAGCTGGACGCTACCAGGGCAGGGCTGAGCGCTGCCCAGAGTGTTCGGCCTGGCAGGGCCCCTGCTGCCCACACGGAACAACCCTTTCTCGGTTAGTAGGAGTGGCGTTGGCTCACCTGTCCACTCCGATGGTCATAGCAAGCTCCATGTGGCTGGTCTGGCCTTCTTGTAATCAGCCGTGGGCTGTGGGCAGATGGGGACCCAGAGATGCAGCGTTAAGGCTCATCTCAAAAACTCTGGCCATCTGCTGCCTCTTAATTCCCTAGTGCTTTGGCGTATTGAGCTATGTATTACCTCCTTGAAATAATAAAAAAATAACCTTTTCTATGATGTCTCTCATTCGTGACTGGTACCAAGAAAATTCCTTCTGAGTGTCCAGCGTTAGTTCTGCAGGTTGCTGTGGGTCACCTGTCTCCTCCTGTTCCAGACTGGGTGAGTCAGTATTCACAAAGAGGTGTGACCTGGCTTCCTCCTGCCCACAGCTTCTCCGGTCCAGGACAGAGAGGACCTAGGGGGGGGGGGGGGGGGGGGGGCGGAGTTGTGCACCCCAAGCTCCCTGGAGCCCTTCAGTTTGTCCAGCTGTCCACACACACAGGTTTCACAGTCTGTGTGTCTGTCTCCTTCACCTGGCTATGAGCAGGGACCTTGTTCCTGAGTCCTCATGCAGGAACTTGGCCGTGGGTGACATCCTGGCGAGAGGCAGGGCAGCTATTGCAGGGGCAGGTTGGAATCATGTGCTAACCTGGTGTTCCTCACCTGGTCAGAGACCCTCTCCCAAGGAGAAGCCAAAAAGGCGGGTGCTTTGTGGCCTGTCCCTCCTTGATGGGAAAGAAGAAGGTGCCTACAGAGGTAGAGCTTCGCCCAGGTCCACATCCTGGCATGTAATTCTTGTCCCTGTGCTGTTTTTGCCAGGCTAACAAATGTTCAGGCTACAAAGCAACATGTTGAAATGCACCCTCCCATCACTACAATGAAAGGCCAACCCTCTAACACCAGTAGCCTCAAGGTATTAAGAGATTAATTGCAGTAGTAATTGGTGTGGTTAAGAGAAAGGATTGCTTCAGTCTGTACTGGCTTTATACCAAAGAGGGAGGATTTGAGCCAGGCCCCAAAGGGTAGGGAAATTTGGCAAGGTAGAAAAAAAGAGGATCGTTCACTGGTATTCTTACCTTAGGAGAGTCTATACTGGTGTGTCCATGAGACCTCTCTGCTCCCGTTTGGGTCTGGAGGATTTCCTGAATTAAAGAGCATTCCAAGTGGGTCCTCAGATTTATCATGGATCCTTAAGTTAGAGGCACTTCCACAGCATTCAAGGTAGGTTGCCCCAAATATTTCCTCTATCAATAAAGAAACTGACTACAGATCTCTCATCTCCAGATGGGCCCCGGCATCCCCCTGGGACCTATCCCAGACCCATCTTGAATGCTATGTAAGTTGGGAAGCCTGCCAGACTCTACTATGAGCAAAAAGGGGTCCTCATGGATAAGCCAGTGCAAACTTGACTGAGATGACAATACAAGTCAACAATGTTCTTAAACTGCCCTCTGGTATAATTTCTGAGAAGTTGCAAGTTAGATTATGGCCACTGTGCTGTAACGATGCAGGAGTGTCCTCCATGAAGCCCAGTCTCTGGAAAACCTCACACAAAAGCAGAGGCCATACTATTAAATAACATTTCTGTGATGGCCTTCCACGGAGGTCTAGACTTGGATCTTGATATGCTGACTCCTGGTGATTTAACTTAGCAGAGAAGTGGAGTTTATAAACTCCTGGCTGGTGGCTTATATAGCCCTGGCTGTTTTCAACAGTATTAACTATGCTGCACTTCTGGCAGGAGCTTGATAGTTGGGAATTAAAAATGGAGCTTCTTCAGTGCCCTAAGTGTGCTTATTGTTGGTAGACATGGAATCCGTTGGCTTCAAAAGTCAGAGGTATAGATAACAGTGCTGACATCTTAACAAAGACTCAGGACATATCATTCTGGGATAAATATGGGAAACTCTGCTTTCCTAACGCTGATGGGAGGGCTTGAATCACATGTTTTTTCCATTCTATTCTGGAGAGCTTTCCCCTTTGCTTTTATTATTGAAATATAATTGCTTTACAATGTTAAGTCTCTGCTGTACAACAGGAATCAGCTGCATGTACACACTTATCCCCTCTCTCCTGAGCCTCCCTCCCACTGCCCCCCGTCTCGCCCCTCCAAGCCATCACAGAGCCCTGAGCTGAGCTCCCTGGCTGTCTAGTTTACACACAGTAGGGTAGTGTATATACGTCAATGCTACTTACTGTTTCAATTTGTAGCACACTCTCCTTCTCCCACTGTGTCCACAAGTCCATTCTCTACTCTGCATCTCTATTCCTGAATAGGGCTTGATATGAATGGTGATGGCATCTAACCATCTCATCCTCTGTTGTCTCCTTCTCCTCCTGCCTTCAATCTTTCCCAATATCAGGGTCTTTTCAAATGAGTCAGCTCTTCGCCTCAGGTGGCCAAATGCTATTGATAAATATTTTAGGCTTTGCAAGCAACTACTCAACTCTGCTCTACCATTGTAGTACAAGACAGCTGCAAAGTATGGTTATGTGCCAATAAAACTTTATGAAAATGTAGTGAGTCAGATTTGGCTCATGGGTTGTATTTGCCTACCCCTAAATCTAGACTAAATCCCATCCATTCAACATTCTTCCACATCTCTCATGGCTGGGATGCTTTCCATGTACATGATATTAGTGTTAAATGACAAAAGGTACTTGTTAACGCTCAGCCCAAAGATTTTAACCACCCATGTGCATTGCTTAGGTCATTCATTGCCCTTGAAGAGGAAGGAGAATTGTATGATGTAAAGAACTGTTGCAACTGACAGAAAACCGGACCCAAACTGGCTTAAAGCAAAGAGGAAATGTGTTGACTCATAAACTGAAACGTTCAGGAATTAGCGTGGCTTTGTGAGTGGCTTCAGTGGGTTTCTCTCCATCTTTCTGTATCAGCTCTGGCCTCAGGCTCTCTCCATGTGATTCTAAAATGGCAGTAGCAATAGCTCCAGACCTTACATACCCTTAGGGTCAAGTTCAGCAGACAAGAGCAGCAGGCACTTCCTTCCCAGTGAGTATCATTGCATTTCACTAGCTTTGATCAAGACAAGTGCTTTCCTGAGACGCAATCCCAGGGCCAGGAGACTACAGTACCCTGACTGATCACATGCTCCTCCCATGAGTGGGAAATGGGGCTCCATCAGAAGCACAAAGACGAAGAATGGGGACAGAATGAAGCCTCAGTACAAATTAGCAGTGTGTGTGAAAGTTGCTCAGTTGCATCTGACTTTTTGTGACCCCATGGACTATAACCTGCCAGGCTCCTCTGTCCATGCAATTCTCCAGGCCAGAATACTGGAGTGGGGAGCCATTCCCTTCTCCAGGGGATCTTCCCAACCCAGGGATCAAACCCAGGTCTCCTGCATTGCAGGTGGATTGTTTGCCGTCTGAGCCACGAGGGAAGCCCAGGAATACTGGAGTGGGTAGCTTATCCTTTCTCCAGTGGGTCTTCCTGACCCAGGAATTGAACCAGGGTCTCCTGCATTGCAGGCGGATTCTTAAAAGGGGGAGACGGATGCTAGCGAAGCAAATCACTATGTTCTCCATGATGGTGGATTCTAGAAGCCTGTCGTGGACATTGTGGCACCCATTCCTTCCCTCCCCAGCTGTGGCAGTCAAAAGGCTTGTGTGAGTGTCCCCCTACCCCTATCCAGGCCAGGTCCTGACAGGCCCAAGCCAATCATTTTAATTTATCCTTCTGCTTCAGCAACTTGTTCAGGTTTAATAATAACCCAGGCCTAAGCCAATCAGCATAGTTTGTCCTAGCCTTAGTGACTGATTTAGAGTCAAGGATGTGGCCTAAAATAGACCAAAGAGAGGGAAGCCCTAGACATCTGATGACTGGGGAAAGCGCTCTCTCCTGTTAGGGGTGGTGGAATGTGTGGCCTGGGACTCCAACAACCATTTTCCTACCTAGAAGGAAGCCTGTCTTAGAGGCCAGTCCACACAGACTCCCTGAGAGACTTACTGAGAAGCACGGCCACAGCTCTGTTACACTGCTCCTGCAGCCTGGATCTACCTCTGGATTTTTCAGTTAGGTAAGCCAATTTGAGCTGGATTGATTATTTACTATTGCTTGCAACCAAAAGCATCCTGACACACACAAAACTCTATCCCAGATTAGCCCCCGTGTCATGAAGCCCTCACTTGCTGCCTGAAGAATGCTGATCGTCAGGGCTTCCCTGGCTAAGATTTTGTGCTCCCAATGCATGGGGCCCAGGTTCAATTCCTGGTCAGGAAACTAGATCCCACATGCTGCAACTAAGACCCAGGGCAGCCAAAAAAAAAAAGAACGCTGATGGTCCTTGCCACCTCCATCCAAACAAGAACCCAAGGGAGACAGCCTCCTGGTCACTGCCTCTCATCATTTGATGCTTGATTCAGTATCATGAGGTGGGTGGGGCAGGTGTGTTATCTGTATTTTACAGCTGGAGAAACAGGTCAGAGAGCTGGAGTGACTCACCCAGGGCTTACCAACCATCAACTAGTGGAGTCTGGACTTGAACCCAGGTCTGCTGCCTCCAAAGGCCACATGCTCCCACCACTCCCAGTCTCTGAAATGGGTGGTCTTGGGGTGGGGAGCAGACTAAACGTGCATGAGTTTCCTTCAGGGTGGACGACCGAGGCCTTGAATGCCTGCTCTCGTCTTTTACCAGGATGAGGATGGTGATAATGAAGAGCGGGGGCAGGCTCACCTTACCCTTCTGACCAGCCCCCCTGCCACCCCCCAACTGTCAGTCCCTGGCATAAAGCAGCGCTCTCTGCACCACGTGCGGGCCACCCGGTGCAGTGTGACGCTGCGTGACTCAGAGGCAAGGCCATGGTGAGTCAGTCTTCCCGGGAGCTGACCCCAGCCAGCCTTCTCCACTCCAGCCTGGCACACCTAACTGGTTCCTGGACATCCTCTTTCACTTCCTAGCGGTAACCTTGGCTCTGTGTTTTACCAGCTGATGCAGGAGGTTCAGAGCATGGGGCCCAACGGCTACTGTTCCTCATTCCTACTTTTTGGGCACGTCCAACGGCAAAACCAGGCAGGCGGGCGGAGGGCTTATCACCAGCTCAGGTTAATGGGACGCTTTCTCTGCCCTCTGCAGACACACAGCTGTGAGAAAGAACAACATTTTAAATAATAAACTTTCACGGAGTTCCCTTCTGCTCCTTAGCCAGTTTCCCCTTTTGTTAGCATCTCACATTAATATAGTACATTCATCATAACTAAGGGCAAATACTGATCTATTAACTAAAGCCCATACTTTATTTCCCCTGGAGAAGGAAATGGCAACCCACTCCAGTTTCTTGCCTGGAAAATCGCATGGACAGAGGAGTCTGGCAGGCTACAGTTCCCCTTTGCAAAGGGTTGGACATGACTGAGCACATACTTTATTTGGAATTCCTTCATTTTCACCTATGCCCTTTCTCTGCCCCAGGATCCCATTTGAGATACCTCATTACCTCATGACATTTAGATTGCTCTTGGCTGTGATATTTTCAGACCTACCTTGCTTCGGGTGACCTTGACAGTTTTGAAGAGGACCCATCAAGTATTTTGTAGATTGCCCACCCACTGGGATTTGTGTCAGTTTTTTCTCATGATTAGACTGGGTTTTGGGGAGAAAGACCACAAAGGTCAAGTATCTTTTCATCCCATTCTATCAATGGTACATGCTATCAACATGACTTCTCTCTGATGTTGTTAACCTTGGCCACCTGGCTGAGCTTTGTGAAGTGTCCCCCCATAAGGCTCCTCTTTCTCCCCCTTTCTACACTGTTCCCTTTAGAAGGAAGCCCATGTACACAGCCCAACTGAGGGGTGGGGAGTTATACCCCACATCCTTGAGGGTGGAGTAGCTATATAAATTATTGGCAATCCTTTTGTTTGGGAAGTTTATCTATGTTCTATTTATTTATTCATTCAATCATTTATATCATGAATAACTGTTTTACACTTTGGGTTATATATCAATGTTTTAATACTGTGTTGTTTATTTCACTGCTCAAACTGTTCCAGATTTGGCCATTAGGAGCTCTTTCAATTGGCTCCTGTGTCCCTCTTTCATACCCGTTCTTTTAATAATAATGCATTTTTCTATTCTTTTTCTTTCAAGAGGTATTGCATGTTGGTAATTGTCGACATTGGAAAATGGGCACCTTAGGGTTGAGTAGACTCCTTTCTTAATCTTTGGTCACAACTAAATTCTTTTCAAAATAAAAGGTACTGCGTGCTGGTTACCTTGGATGGGGGACTCCATGTTGCCATCCGCCGCCCATGCAGGGGAGAGGCTCTGGCCCACCTTCCTTCCTCCCATAGCCTCCACCCTGCCCCTCTGCCGGCTGCACCAGGGGCCTAAGGCTGGCACTGTGGTGGGGAAAGGCAGGAAAGAGAGCACAGCAAGAGCTTGAGAAGTGATGACCTGGCCCTGTTCCCTGCCCCTCCCACATGCCAACCCTCTCTGGACTGAGGGCCCCAGCCTCTGAACTCCGTTGGCATCTGTAGGCTGGACAAGCACACTTGTGCCATGTGCATAAATCTGTTCTGCACCTACTCTAAGCTTCTTGGAGGCAGGGACCAGGCTTCATCAGCTGCCCCAAACCTCCCCAGTGATTGACACAGTGCTGGGCTGAGAATATAGGCTGCTCAAATAGCCATGGACTGAACTTATGCGGAGGCAACCCCAGGACTGACCCAACAGTGCTCAGAGATGGACTTACACCAGAGAGCCGGAGTCCACTGGCCCACACACTCCTGTGTATGCGTGGGGTACTCATGACAGGCCAGGCATTGTGCTTGGGGTGTGGCAGCAAACATGAGGACCAGACCTGGGCTCGTGGGAGCTACCAGGTAGAAAGAAGGCCTGCTGAAAGGCTCACGGCAGCTCTCTGAGAAGGACAGGGCCCTGGACTCACTTCCTGGTTGGGAAACAGTCAAGTCATTTGAACCAGAGTTCCTGTACCCGAAGTCTCCACTGCGGTAGGTATCTGCTGTGGACGTGACATTCCTCCTCTCAGCTGGCTGGCCTTGCTGTGGCCTTTTGGCCCAAAGCCTTTGGCCACTGTCCTTTAGCCCCAGATCTGTCCCTGCCACCTCCCAGCCATTGATGCCTCCGGGAGATACGAAACAATGAGGTTCTCAAGCCTGTGTGTGGGACCACAGTGCCAGCTGGACTCCTCTCTGCTGATGAGCGCCCGGGGGCGTGGGCGGCAGCTTCGCACGCCTGTTTGGTTATTTTCTGAACCAGACTCTGCATGGCTCATGGAGGCCTTGCAGGAACCGGCTTGTGAAGGGCTTACCTTTCCCTCTGGGCCTGCAGTGGAGCTGTCAGCTTTGTTTTTCTTGGCAGGAGGCTTAAACCCTCACCATGTTCAGCGCTGCAGTGGAAGGTTCTGGCACGGGTTTCTTAACATTGGATCCTTGATTCTTTGTTTCCTTTTCTTTCCCCCTCTGGCCTTTAATTTACTGGAAAAAATTAATAGCAGATATTGTGCTGGATAATTTGGCCCAGAGGAGGCTGTAGGTGTACAAGGGCCCCACCCGTGCAATGGACATCAGAGGAAAACAACCCTAGATGGGGCCTGGCAGTCAGACCTGGGCCTGCTGGTGCAGCTGGCATCCTGCACAGGCACGGGAGGGAACTGGCTCGGCTGGTTGTGAATTGTCCAGGCCCACCTGTTTGGCTCTTTTCTAGACACACCCGTCCTGCTGGGGGTGTGTGTGTGTGCACGCACGCAGGGCACACACGTCAGCCAGGGAGAGCCAGAGCACGTTGGCCCTGGATCCAGTCATCAGACCGCATGGAGCCAGGTGAGTCTGTCCCCACCTCACCCCTGCTCAAGGGGCCCTGTAAATACCAAGGTTCCACCCTTATCGTAACCAGGCCCCAGTAGGAAACATAGGGCAGGCACAGGATGGTTCTCAGTGTCTCTGTGGCTAGCTCAATGCAGGTCATCAGGAAGGCACTGAAGAAATATGAACTGAAACCGGGATGGAGAACAGGGTGAAGAAACCAGAAAGGTCATGGCTAATGGTTCTGACCCAGCCAGCAAGGGTGTATTTCATTTCCCAAGTTGAGATATTTTCAAATGATAGCAGACCATGTTTTGCTAGAGTCCCTTCAGAAATCAAACCAAACCTATTTGTTACCATGCCCTTTGGTATTCAACATGTATTTACTGCCCCTTCCTTGTGAGAATTTTAACATACTGAAGGAGAGAGCCGATTGACTCCATACTTCAACAAAACTCAAACGGCTGCACGGCCAGGACCTGTGCTGGCAGACAGACCTAAGAACTGCTAACGTGCATGTCCTCCCCAAGTGCCAGACGTTCCAACTCACGCCTTCACACCTCACTCAGAGTGGCACTCTGTGCTACTGCTGTCCTCATGTCACGCCTCAGGAAACCACGGCAGTCACCCAGAGCCAGTCAGTCCAGACAGGTGGGCTCAGAGCCTGTGACCTAAACCACCCAGGCACTGGTTCTGAAGCTCTCAGGCTCCTTGTCCCTAGCTTGACCTAACGGAATGATGACGACACTTACCCACTGGGTGATGACGTCTGTTGGGAAGGCCTCCAGAGAAGGCAAGCAGGGGCTTGCCCAGCGCAGTCAGTCCTGTGTCCACCTCAGCCTGCTTCTCCAAGCTGGTCTGGGAATGAGTTGGCCAATTCGATTCTCTACCTGAGAAACAAACTAGAAAATATTTTTGTTTATCCCCTTCTCAGGGAAAGTGTAGGGATGTATTAATTAAGTCCATGCCTTTAGTAAACCCCAGACTATCGAACCTCAAAATTGAAGGACACTGTCTTGCCCATTCATGATCCAGCAGAGAGTCAGAGGGTCCTAGTTCCTAACATGATTTTTCCACTGTGCATCCAATGTAGAGGCTGGCAAACTCCTCTTGCCTACCTGGGTTTCCTCCTCAGGCTAGAAAAACTGTTTTGAGCAAAGAAAAGCTCTAGTTTCACGCTGTGCAGAACGGAGCCTGGCAAACGGGCCTGAGAGTCAGCTGGCTTATAAACCAGCTTGGTGACACAGGACAGTCAGTGTGTGGCATAAAAATGGGTGCTGCCCCATGATATCACCCTTGTTTGGGGCTTCAACAAGTGGCGAGGCAGCCCTCATGAGTGTTTGAGCTCCACTGGGAGAAGGGAAACACCGTCAGGGTAGTTCTATCCATCGGACTTATAACAAGCGTCTCTCCGCCCCCTTTCCCCAAGCCTTCAGAGCCTGGTCTCAGACCCACCTGGCTAATTCCACTCAGCTGACACTTGTCTAACAGTTTCCTTTTGTTCCCTGGGTTATTTTGCTTTGGGGAGTCAAACCTGAGCGCACGAGAACCATCTTGTTAAACAGCCCGACTCGTTGGTGGGCCATGGTGGGCTGCTGATCAGGGAAGCAGGAGCCTGAGAACCCTCTTAACAAGCACCCCTGGGTCATGGCCCAAGGGTCCACTTTAAGTAACACCACCATGGGGGCAATCCTGCCAGCCAGAGGACCGAGTGTCCCAAGTTTAGAGACACCACTGAGTTCCAGAGGGAGGGGATGACACCTCACTTGGGGTGACAACAGAATTAAGATACGTTCTCTGGTTTTGAACACTGGACTGTGTCCCCAGTTCTGGGGTCATGTGCCCCCACTTTATTCACCCTGGCTTGTATGGCGAGGACACAGCTCAGGGGCGGGAAGCAGTTGTGAGACACGAAGTCCACCCTCATGCAGTCCAGGGGAGAGCTGGGTTTTTTGCATCTTGCAGATTCAGCCCTGGTCACATGTTCTGTGTAGATAAGGGCTGCTGGCACCTGAGTCTCCCTTGGTCCTGAGATCAAGTGCATTATAAATTATTTCCTCTGGTTCTCACAAGCATATTGTGAGGTTAAAGCTATTATTATCCCCGTTTTATATTTGAGGACACTGAGGCTGAGAAGTAACTTGCCCAAAGTTACCAGCGATGAACAAGAGCCAGGATTTTGAACTCAGGCAACCAGACTTCAGAGCCCAAGAGTTAATACATTACAACTCTAATATTAGAGATGGAATTCAGCTGTCTTCAGTCCTAGCTCAGGGCTATCATCTGCTCTAGTTTTTAAGTCTTTCTGAGTTGACAGCTTTGTGAACTTTAGGCAATTCTTTGCTGAAGTGGTAGCTACTCTACAGATGGGATTAGCATATTAAGAATTTTAAAAACTGGGCCATTAATACCCTTGCCCTTGGGGCAAACTGTAAGGGAGGAAAATATCAAGCTCTCCCCATGGCAAGAGAAAGAGGTGGCTTCTCACAGGACCAGGTTCTCGGCAGTTTCTCTGGCTTTGTGCTGGGCTGTCCAGAGTGCAGTGCCTCGAGAACCAACCACAGAGTAACCTGGAAGTGAACCGCGGTCACTTTGGTGAACTGGGGGACATACACTGGCTTCCTAGATATGCACACCGGAAGGAACTTAGCCATGGAATTCACCAGTTTCCCTTCAGTGAGCACAACCTCTAGCCCAGGGGCTCTTACCTGACTCTCCTTTTCAGGCAGCTGCTCCCAGCAGCACCTCCTCCTCTCCACTGCTTGTCAGCACATCAGCCAGGTTTGGATTTTCCCAGGTGAACCTGCTATCCTGTTCCAGCTGTTTTCTTCCAACTGGTTTACGGGAATTTTGAGAAGCCTAAAACTCCTTTTCCAGCCAACATCCTGGAGCCGGGGACTGGATCTCGGGAATGTCACCTCTTCCAGGATGGCTAGATGGTTTGCTTCACCAATACGGCTGCACCTGCAGCTTGGTTCTAATGCCCACCCTGACCAAGCACATTCTGTGTAATATGGAATCTATAATTAAAAGTCTGGATATACAAAGGGATGTAGTAAAGGGAAAAAAAAGGGAAGGGAAGAAAGCACATTCACTTTGAGGGCTGAAGAAACCACCAGACTGCTCATTCCCTATTTTTTCTCCCTTATTCATGTCTCTCTTTGTCTTGAAAAGGAACACCATTAATAAACAGGATTCTGCTCTCTCCCCGCATCCTTGTTTTCCTTATTGAGATCATGGTTTTGGGAGTTGGCTTGTCACGTTACAAAACACCTTTTAAAATATGAATAAGAATATATATAACTGAGTCACTTTGCTGTACACAACATTGTAAATATGCCTCTTAAAGAAACACAATCCACCACCTGTCAACTCCCATTAACTAACAGGAGATGCTACAGATTTGACATCCAATGGACAGGAGCCCCGGCTCCACCGCTCCAAAGAGTGACAAATCAAAGAATTGATTTGACTCCTCTCCCTCCCTTGGTCTAGGAACAGCAGTATTTCCTGTCAACCAGACAGGAAAACCAAAGCTGAGCTGTATTCTGGCCATAAATCCTTTCTTTCAAAGTCAAACAAGTTCAAGCCAGGATTGGTCCCTAGCCCAAGGAGAGCTAACTGGATGCTGTTGAAGCCTCTTTGACTTCCAGCCCGTGGCAGCCCTGCTGCCTGTTACTATGTTGGAACTCTCTAGAAACTGGAAAAGTCCTAGAGAATACCAGTCACCCCTGGACTGGACATGATGTTCATTACCAGAAGAAACCCAAACCCACAGCTTTGGGCTACCAGTTCCCCAAGGGTCATCTATTTAGCTAGAGCTGGATTCAGAAATGTTGCCCTGGAAAACCCCATCCCTGCTGGAACTTCGAAAGCTTCCATCCAGTGAGCAAAGTCACCCACTGGTTTACCCACCTCCTGCCCTGCCTGGGCCAGGCTGAGCCCTTAACACAGAGGGAAGCATCGGCGGTGGTGGCTCCCAGCCTGTGGGCTCCTCTCAGGCCACCGCATGGGCCCACTGGCCTCACCATCTTGGCCTTTGCCAGGGTAAGAAGACACCACCACCAAGAAGGATAAAATAAGTTTTTATTTATAGTCTTATAGTAAAGGGGAAAGCCTTAACTTGCAAGACAATTCTTCAGCAGTATGTACAACATACTTTTTATTTCCATGGAATGGAATCAAACACAGACTGAGACTACAGAGTATACACTAGAAATCAGCAAATGCCGGGAACAGAGTAGGAAAAAGACAAAGAAATGAGGCCTAAACACACAAAACCCTTCACTGGGATCTGCTGACCGCAGCCAGAACCAGGGCTGGATCACATAATGGGGACAGGTTCCAGGACAGTCGGAAGGGGAGGGCGGTAGGGGTCCGCACTGGGGTGCGGGTTTAGTACGAGGTGAACCGCTCTTGGTATTTACATACAAAATCAGTTGGCTCTATTTCTTAGAAATACACACGGAAAGAAAGGAAGATTTGATCATTACTTTATGAATCTGTCGCTTTGCAATACCGACATCATCAGAAATAGGGACAGTTCACTCAGGTTCAAATTTCAGCAGCAGGAAATAAATATCAAAACATCATCACTGGCCCTCAATACAAAACCTCTACCCTACCCGATCCTCCCTCTTTGGCCCACCCACCCGCTACCACCCCCTGGCGGCTACCGCTCCACTGCTGCCGTCCCCTCACGCCACACAAGCATCACACGGCCTCCCTAAGGCTAGCTGAGAGAAGCAGGAGTGAAACAGGCCAAGACTCCGCGCTGCAAATCTGTCCCCACTTCCTTTTATACCACAAACTTCTTCAAGGATCTGGTCTTTCAATAGGAGCGATAAATAGCCTTTTAGCGGGGGAAAAAAAAATCCTTAAAAAGAAGGGGGAATAATTCTGATTACTCCAAACTGGTCATCTTCTGAAAGTAGAGCAGTCCACAGATTCACAAAGTCTATCAAACAGAGGTGAGGATGGCCTGGAAGGAGAGGCCTGGGTGGGGCAGGAGTCCCCCGGGCACGTGCCCGGCAGGGCTGGAGGAGCTGGTGGGTGGTCAGGACACCATGTGCTCAGAGGTCTGGCCGGCCGTCTGTCCTCCACAGAAAAAGCTGCCAAGTTGGGGTGTTTTGGTTTAAAAATTCCTGGTGGGGACAGGGAATCCCTGAAGGGAAACGTTTAAAAAAAAAAAACAAAAAAATCGTGGAAATGGGGAAGGAGAATGAGAGCTGTTGTCCAAGAGCTTCTACGTAAAAATAAAATTTAAAAAAAAAGGAGAAAGAGGGAAAAAAAAAAAAGAGTCTCTTAAATGGTTCTGAGGGTTCTAAAGATGAACTGAAAGGAGGATAAGACGACGGAGGAGACAGACAGTTTTTATTGCTGGCCTGCCCCGCGGAGCTTAGCTGGCCTCCATCCGGAGCTTCTTCCTGCTTTGGGGCTCTTCGGGCTCCGACTCCGAGCTGGAGTCCGAGCCCCCATCGAAGGCAGAGATGGTGCTGCCCTTGGCGTTGGTGTAGAGGCTGCTGTCTGAGGAGGGGTAGTTGGTCTGCAGTTGGGCACTCGACCTCGCCTTCTCCAGTGCACGGACTGAAAGGCAACCAAGCGAGCGGGTTACAGCCTTCTGGAGACTGGGGGAGGAACCGAGTCTCGGGTTGGGGTCCAGCCTGTTCTTCCGAAGGGCATGCTGGCCCCCAAGGCTCAGGGTGGCTCATAAGTAACTCCCTTCTGGTGGCTGGTCCACCTGCACACTTCATTTCCCTTCGCCTTTCCCAGCCAGACACGAGCGCTCAGTGGATACGGCCAGCCACTCTGCAATGCCACCCAACCCTAAAGAGAAGGCGCGTGCTGTCACCGTCCTGCCGTGGAAGCCCAGCACAGAGAGAGGACCACGAGCTCCCTGCGGGACCCAGCAGTGCAGTAACAGCGCAGCTGGCCCAGCAATGCCTGGCTCCACAAGGGTGTGAGGGTCACACGTTAGCAGGGAAGGATGACAGAAGACATACCAGCCAAAGAGAAGTTTTGGCTTAGCTCTCATGTACAAGATCCACTTGGAAAGACAAGCTGGACACTTGGAAGCAAGTCACCAATACACAGAGTACCTGGGCTTCCCAACACGGAGCCCCTACATGCAGGCTGCTCGGCCCGGTAACCAACCCGCTGCCGCCTCCCGCTGCCCATCCCTCGGTTCAGCTCGTCTTGAGCCTGGAAGGTCAACCCATTTATTTTGGTTTAGTTTATTTTATTTGAGATGTTCTAACCCAGACGGTTACTTGCATTTCCTTTTACTTGCATCTTCCATGAGGGAGGAAGAGAAGTGAATTCCCCAGGAACAAAGAACTTGATCAGCTCTCGCTTTCCCCTGTGGTTGTAGGAAAAGGCGGGTGTGAGCATTGGAGAAGAGCACGGGCCTGGCCCACGGGCTGCCCTGAGTGGACTACCGTTGACACGGGGAGCGCTCACTGTCCCTTAACACCTGGAGTCTCTGGCACTTCCACAGCACACTCCAATCCAAGGACCTCACAGCTCTCTGGAGGCACCCAGGCCAGCTGTGATCCCTACTACCAGCGAAACACCTGAGCCCCAAGAAGAGGAGAGCGAGTAGGTCAGAAAGGTCTCCAGACGGCTAAGCCTTGGACTCCACCGTTCCCTCACCGAAGCTCAGGCCCTTCCTCAGGACGGCTACTCTCGCCTACAGACCCAAGCAGCAGGATGGCAGCTGCTCAGGAGCATGGCTCCGTCACTGGTTCTGACTCCGCAGGCCCCGGCGCGAGGCCCTGACCTGGCTGGCGCACAGCAGGGCCAGCTGCCCCACGAGCTCCGCTGCTCACCTTGCTGCTCCAGGAGAGCATTCTGCCGCTTGAGGTCATCAATATCTTGCTGGTGTGTGTGGTTTTTCCTTCGCATATACTGGATATACTCTGTGGCTTTGTCTAGGATTTGGGCCCGGGATGCCTGTTGCAATATGAGAAAAAGCAGAGGGGACAAAATAAAGACCTAGTCCATGCAGCGAGAAAACCATTCTTTTCAGTGAAGGCCACACGAGGGGACAGAGGCAGGAGGGGGAAGGGCACGAAGTGCTAAGTGCTGTCGAGAATCTTCTTTATGCTGGTCAAGGCACTAGCTGCTTTCCACAGCTTACCTCACTGGCACTCTGACAGAGGTGGTTCCACTAGGAACCCGAGACTCCGAGAAGTTTACCGGTTTATTCAAAATCACCAGCTAAAGGGTGTAGAGCCTGGATTCAAACTCAGGTCTGTCTCAATCCTGAACTTGTTTCCCACACAACCCCTTTGGTTCTTTATATTGCTTTCAGGTCTTCGGCCAGGCTATTCTGAAAACATTAGAAGACTACTTAACTGAGAGCTAAGGTCACTCACTCACTGCTGGGCCTGGCTGCAGGCAGCTGGTCCAGAAAGACAAGATCAAGATCTCAGCTGGAGCTGGCTCAGGATGGGGATGGGTACAAAGGTTTTCCTCAAGGTTCGAGATTTCAGACAAGTGCTCAGACCGTTGTTAACTAGTTCCAACTAAGCCATGTGACCGAGTCACTATTTCAGCCTCTCTGGCTAAAGAGACGTTTGTGAAAGCTGTCAGAGCTTGGTGTCAACACAGGAAGGGCATGAGATTGGGCCATTTCAGGAAGCAACCACACCTTTATCATGGCTGAGGGTAGCCTAGGCACTGCCCTGTCAGAGCTAATAAAATGGATGTCAGGTTACTTGGCCCCTGGAGGTCAAACTTGTCTGGGAGATTCTCTGCAGGGTTGCAAACATGGCCTGAGTTACTCATGACCAAGCAGTCAACAGACTGAACTGGCAGAATGGTACAAGGCCCAGAGAACTGAAGCCCAAGACAAGCTAGTCTAGTAGCTGAAGTCAGGCAATCATGCCACTGAGGCTCCTGAGCAGGAGCAAAGCTTCTTTTTTTTTCCCATTTATTTTTATTAGTTGGAGGCTAATTACTTAACAATATTGTAGTGGTTTTTCTCATACATTGACATGAATCAGCCATGGATTTACATGTGTTCCCCATCCCGATCCCCCCTCCCACCTCTCTCTCCACCCGATCACTCTGGGTCTTCCCAGTGCACCAGGCCTGAGCACTTGTCTCATGCATCCAACCTGGGCTGGTGACTGTTTCACCCTAGATAATATACACGTTTCGATGCTGTTCTCTTGAAACATCCCTGTTTCGATGCTGTTCTCTCAAAACATCCCGCCCTCGCCTTCTCCCACAGAGTCCAAAAGTCTGTTCTGTACATCTGTGTCTCTTTTTCTGTTTTGCATATAGGGTTATTGTTATCATCTTCTTAAATGGCAAAGAAAACAGCCACACTCGGGTGAGCAAAACTATACCCACTTGTAGTAAACCCCGACAATCTCAACTCACAGACTCCAGCATGGCTGGGTATCAGAGAGGTTTGGAAGGCCTAGGTGTATTCACCAGTTCTCACAAGTACTAGAGTCCCCAGGCTTTCCTCTTATGGCATCCTTAAGGCAATTTCCTCAAAAGGAAACTGTTCATATTCAACCATTTTTATCTGGTGTGAATTATGTGTGGGGCACAGAGCAGAAACTGTGGGGAAACAAAATGTATTAGTCATGGCTTCTTTGCCCAGATGCTTACTTACTATCTAGTTGAGGAGATAAACATATCTATATACAGACAAATCACAGGGCAGTACCAGCAAGTGTAACTTGAGTAGTACAGATTACAAAGGCCACGGGAAAGATGGCTTTTGGCTGGGGTGGTCACCTTGTGTGTGTGCCAGAAATCAGCCTTGGCTCTGCACAAACAGGCTCCCATCTGAACGAGTGGGGTCAGGGTGGGTGAGACTGAGGCGGAATTTGTGGGAAAGGGCTGCTCTGCGCGAGAACAGCACAGGCAAGGGCAGGAGGGTGGAGACAGGCCCAGGTCTGTCTTCATCTGAGTAAGTCAGCTGATGTAGAAAGAGTGAGGGCACCTACCAATGGCGCATGGGGGGACGGGGTTACCAGGTCACTTCAGAGGCTGTTTCCCATTTCTGCCAAAGGAGACTTATTAGGGTTAATTACTGGGTGATAAAATGGGGGGGGGGAGAGCACATATTTAGAAGGGACTAATTAAAATACCCTGCCTCTCTGGCTGCTAGAGAGGGGATTAAAAAATATAGTAGGATAGGTGCCAGGATGGCAGGGTGGGGAGAAGAGTTTAGGAATCCAGCAGATGGGGCCTCTGGAGTCCTGTCTTTAATGTGCTCTGTGACCGCAGACACAGTCTCTCGCGTGGCTGTTTCTTATCTGACGAGAAACTCTCTGACCCCACTGAGCCTTCCAAATTCTATGCACTCCATCACTGATCTAATTGCCATGCATATTTACATCACAGCCTCTCTAAATTTGCCTATTTTTTTCCGACTAACTGTTGCTCCCAGAATGCAACATTAACCTCATTTAACTCCTCATTTGTATCTAGCACAAAGGGAAAAAAGCAAAATCTCTGAACAGGAGAGCACTTGCAAATGCTTAGTGATAATTTTTAACAAATGACCACACTGAGTAGCAGCCTGAGTGCTACCACTTTCTTCTTCACACATTCATACATGAAATCATGAGGGGTTCATACATGAAATCACAAAGTGAAACGTGAGCCGTGAGCATAGCGCAACAAAGCAAAGAGAGAGATGCTGTGAGAGATGGAAGTCTTTCCACCTCAGGGCAGTTTCTGGATGAAAATACAATTCACAGCTGCACGGCAAACGAAACGTATTGGGGTCAAGAGGTCTCCATTGAAGGAGAGATGAGAATTAACCCAGCACCCTCTAGAATGCTAACAAGCACCGCCCTTCTTCCATACCCGCTCCTTGCTAAGCAGAAGTACCCAGGCTACTTCAGGTTGTCCCTGACCCTCCCATTAGCATGTCCAGAAATACAGTTCAGTTAACTTTATTTTGCCTTCTCCAGAGTTCTCAACAAAAAGTAAAATCCCACAAGAAAAAATCTGGAGGATAAATGACAGAATTCCCCCCAATTTACAAGTGCATGAAATCCAGGGAAGAAAAAGCAAAAGGTTGAAGGTAGAACAGGACAGACTCATTGAAAACCCCCTCTCTACAAACCAAACCCCCAGTTTAACAAACCATATAAGACTGTGTGACCAGCCACAGGGGGGAGGTGTGGGCAGGACCTTGCCTTTATGAGTTTATACTATGAACAGTAAACGTGAAGCCAGCAAGAATCCTGGGCTTTATGGCTTGGACTATGGAGTGGCCCTGGGCTTTCGGTTTCTGTTTTCTAAATGGTGCCTAGTCGCTGAGTCGGCAATCTTCATGTGAGTGTCCCTGAGCAGATAACACTTGGTAGATCAACATGTCTACAGGTCAACTGTTGGCCTTTGGGTATCCAGGAAGGATCTGAATGAATAATCTTTCCTGCTAGTTTTTACAGTTAGAAGGCACTAATTCTTATTCTGCCTTTCTCAGCAGAAACAGAACCCTTCAATGGTCTGGACACAGTCCCAACACAGGAGGGCCTGTGGCCGTGGGACCGAAGTGGCACTGGGCCTTCTGGGCAGCTGTGTGAGTTAATGTACAGCAACTGAGGCTCCTCTTTCCCTCTGGGAGCCACATGAAAAGACACTGGACACCCTTGCCAGATGGTGATCCAGAGCCACGGCTGCACACAGCAGTATCAATGAGGAAAACGGCAGCAGCTGAGGACTTACACAATGCCAAGCACCCTCACAAGAGCTTCTGATGTGTTCAGTTCAGTTCAGTTGCTCAATCGTGTTCAACTCTTTGCAACCCCATGGACTGCAGCATGCCATGCCTCCCTGTCCATCACCAATTCCCGGAGTTGACGCAAACTCATGTTCACTGAGTTGGTGATGCCATCCAACCATCGCATCCTCTTTTGTCCCCTTCTCTTCCCACCTTCAATCTTTCCCAGCATCAGGGTCTTTTCTAATGAGTCAGTTCTTCGAATCAGGTGGCCAAAGTATTGGAGCTTCAGCTTCAACATCAGTCCTTCTAATGAATATTCAGGATTGATTTCCTTTAGGATGGACTGGTTGGATCTCCTTGCAGTCCAAGGGACTCTCAAGAGTTTTCTCCAACACCACAGTTCAAAAGCATACATTCTTCAGCGCTCAGCTTTCTTTATAGTCCAACTCTCACATCCATACATGACTACTGGAAAAACCACAGCCTTGACTAGATGGACCTTTGTTGTATTAGTTCTGATGTGTTAGTTCCCTTATTTTATACATGAGGAAACTGAGGCACAGAGTTGTAACTTGCCTGATGTTAAATAACCAGTAGGTAATACAGTCAAGATTTGAACCCAGGCCTCTAGTACACCCTTATTTTGGGATCTGAGAAGAGACTGTGGAACTAAGGAAGAAGATCAATGAAATGTGGACAGTCAGAGCAGGAAGACAAGGACTACAAAAGAATCACCCAATTTGTCTATAAGGACATCAGTGAAGAACCTGGTGAGGGTGGTTTCCTTGAAGAAGTGAATTTAGGTAAATCATCATATAGGTCAGTGGGTGCAAAAGTGACTTGAAGCTGAAGCAAAGATGAAGACTGGTTTTTAGAACGAGGTTGAAAAAGTAAGAAATGGAAAAAAAACAGTAGTGTATAATAATAGTAGCATAGAAGGAAGATTGCTTTTTTTTTCTTTTGAGAGGCAAGTGAAATCCAGAGAGTCTCCTAGCAGAGAAGCAGCAAATACAGAGGAAAAGCCAGAGGATGCAAGCTAGCTGGAAGAGAACTGAGTGGACCTGGGCCCCGGCCGAGAGGAGATGCGGCCTCCCCACACTGCTCTGGCTTTACCACCTAAGAGAAGAAACCTAAAATGGACAGAGGAGACAACCCAGCGTGGCTCAGGGGCCCAGTGGGTCCTGCCTCCTCCTGCTCATCCGCAGCTGCTTGCCTGTTTGCATCTATGCCCAGAGCAGCAAAGAGAGAAAAGGGCCAC